AGCGCCCAGCCCAACAGACATGCTAAATGTGTCCATGTCTAAAACCGCAGCAACAAGAAGCATTTCTACCCTCATATGTACTCATATATAGATCTTTCCTTGTCGGCTCTCAGAGCACAGAGAGGCTCTGATTTACATCAGGCCATAGACTGCACCTGTGGCAGCATCAGGACTAGAACTTGGTTTTCCAGACTCCTCATCCTGCACTCTAATGCCTAGCACATGCTGCATCTCCCCTATCAATAATCTCCAAAGGCAGACAGGAAAACAAAATATGCTCTCTGCTACAGCGGTTGGGTGCAATTAGATACAGAGATGTAGCAGTGTGTTAATAAACAGACCAGCAAAGACCAAAAATAATACAGGGAGACAGTTCCTCAGAGGAAACACTAAACCGAGGAAATTAAAACTTCAGCATCACGGCATACATGATATACAGTGTTACTTTGAAGCAGGATTTGAATTGGGGGTACACAAGCATGGATCCAACACACCAGCACTGCTCCCAAACTGCCTTCTCATTCTCCAGAGTCTCCACTTTCATTTTAAAAGAGGGGAGTCTCTAGCTGCCATGGAAGAAACCTTGGAAAACGTGAACCAATTGCCACCAATCCAGGGGCAACGCTCTGAGTTTGCAGGGAATCTGATGCAACAGCTCTGAGGTTTGCATTTCTCTATTCATTTGCATGGGTGCTAATTCTGATGACGATATTTTAAAAGGTCAACATTGCTAACTATTTCATTGCTCAAGCATGTAAGACGGGAGACCATGTATTGTACTATGAAGACCTACACCGTCGATTGTGGGTGACTGCAAATTTTGGTGGGGGTGGACCTGGACGATATATTTTTTCCCCCAGTCAAGAAAGAGCCAAGCAGAAGGAACCAAGCAAGAGATCTGAGCCCCACCAAGAAGAAACAGAACCCAGAGAGCATCCAAGATCATATATTGAGCAGCTCCACCATCTGCTGAGGGCAGCAGCTCATTACTGGCATCTTGAGCAGGCAGAGCTTATTTTGTGGGTGGAGCCTGGAAGAGAACCATTGTCTTATTCTTTCAACCCCTGCTTCAGAGGCACTGGCTTCGGCAGTCTCCAATGCACTCCATTAACCATCATTAAGTTGTTCATCACATCACATCTCATCACACAACGTTCGAGGCATCACTTAATCTGGCCACTGACTTTCCACATATTTTAATAGATTTTTTTCCAAGTAACTTCCCTGCCCACTGGGAAAATCAAATAAGCGAATGGAATTAACTCTAACAATACTGAACATTAATTATGGATTACATTTCTTGCACTTAAGTTCTGCGTTCAGCTAGGGAAACAATGCATCAACAGCAAGATTAATGCAAGCAGGGGTGGTGATTTGCAAAGATCCGTTAAAATTAACAGGCAGCTTAGTAATTTAAATAAAATAAACACTCTTTGCCAACTGCAGAGGGGCAATTACAAAGTCCTTCTGGATGGTCCCTTGCTGAGAAATCACCATTTGAAGAAAACAGTTGTCACATGAATGACATATGTATTCAAATTCACGTCTGCTCTTAAAACAATAAGGGAAACTATTATGGCTTATAGCACGCACAAAAGAGACATGCTCGAGCAGTCTTCTTGTTGCTAAGACTTGGGACAGAATTTTTAAAAGAGGTCGGCTTACTAGGTGCTGGTCTCTTTTGAAAATCTGGCCCCAACTGGGGGTCCTGAGCATTTTGGGGGGAGATTTTCAAAGGTGCAAAGGGCACCCAAAGTCAGTGGGAATTGAGGGCCGCACTCGGCCTTTGAAAAGCTCCCTCTTGAAAATCTGGCTCCGAGCTCTTTGCGCAAATTTGGCCCTTAGTTCTAAATCCTGCCTTCTCTCCACATCATCATATCCTCACCGTGGTATTTGCTTTCTCCACGGGGCGGTGGGGGGGAGAGATACCGGTATAACAGGCCTGATTTTGCTCTCACTTCACTCCCGGGACTTCCTGCTGAGTGACACACATGTAACCAAGATCAAAACGATGCCCAACATGTCTGGTCCTGGGCCTTAGCGCCACATCTGAAATTCCTCCCAGAAAGTTCTACCAAAGCTGAACAAAACCACACCACACAGGGAGAAATTCACCAGCGCACAGTGGGTTATGCCCCAAGACCCAGTGGAGCTTATCTCGAGGGCTTACATAGGGCTTGTGCTGGCTCTGCATGGGGTGAATTTCACCCTTCATTATAGTTCTCTCACCCCCAGTTAGAAAGGGTTCTCGCTCTCTGAACATCTAGCTCCATTAAATTCTCCTTTGTTTCCAGCTCTTCTTTGCCTGTCTTGATATTTCTGTTCATGTGAATCCATGCAGGTAAATACTTCAGAACTCTTAAAGGTACCTGGAGCAAAACTGCTCCTGAAATAAAAACAGAAAAGCTTTTAGACGTGTATCTGTGCAGAGATGTTCTTCAAGGCTCTTGAAAAGCAGGAAAATAGGTACTGTGTTATGTATTGCTTCCGGCCCACAAGATTTTTATGTTAATTGGTGTTTTATCACAAAACACTCAATTTAAAATGGCAGCCATGCATATGCATTGCAGGCCAAGAAAGCTATAGTGCCCCTCAGATCAGTGGCTCACAGATGTATTTTCAGCGAGCTTTGAAGGAAAGAATGTAGGCGCTGAATGAAATCTCTGTATTGGAACAAATATTCTTCAGATATTTTATGTACACTCAACAGTTCAGTCTATGCGATATGCAGCCTGCTGCTTCTGTTTCATTTTCAATATATGCCTCAAGTGTACAAAAATCATGAGTCAGGTCCCCAAAAAATTTGGGATTGGCTTAAAATCATGAAACTTTTAATAATCTGGAGTTCTTTTTCTTTAATTTCTGGCTTTTAGCCTTTAGGGTGCACTTGCATTGTGTTTTCAAGCTTTTCTCTGCAACCACAAGGACCAGAAACCTACTTTAAAAAAAAAAAAAAAGAAAGAAAGCTGAGATTCTCATGTATTCACATGACTCCAGGAGCTGGGACTTTAAGAAACAAACCAGATATCATGAGGAGACTCAAAACAAGGTCCTGAGCATTGGCAAAACTGTGTACATGTAGTAGAGCTGGTTGAACTGCTTGTGGGTGGAATTTTCAGAAGTGCTGAGGCGACTCTCAGTGGGATTTGTGCGCCAAAGTCACTTAACAGCTTTTGAACATCCTACACATTATGAATAGCAGGCCAAGCACTCTGTTAAAATAACTCCGTTGACTTCAAGACAGTTCCACCAGCGGAGACTTTGACCCAATATTTATTACAGCTGGCTGTATCTCTGTTCTCTGTTTTTGGACAGACTATAAAACTGATTAAGAACTTTGGCTGGGATTTTCAAATGAAATCCCCATGAGGTGCCTTGCAACCTGAGGCTCTTTTGTAAATTCCAGCCTTAGTCTAGAGATTTACACAAAGTTACTTCAGCAGACAATCTGGCCTTCAAAGTTCAGTTGTTGCAGGTCACTTTCGTGCATTCCAGAATCTGGTGTGATTTGGATTTAGGATCTATTTATCTGAACACCCGCAGTAATAAGACTGTGGGATTCTCAGAGGGAAGGTGCTAGAGAAGTGCAGAGCACTTCACAAATAATAATTTAGTCAGCCCCTCTGTGAGGTAAGGGAGCGTTTTTAACATCAGATGAAGAAACTCAGGAACAAAGAGATAAAGGACTGATTCTCCATTACTTTGCCCCATGGGTCATCACTCTCTCACCTGTGCTTTGTGGGAGCAGAACACTAGCACCTGAATGAGTGGAGAATTTTGATTTAATAGTGTCTTACTAGGGCTTATACAGGATGTCTGTGGCAGGCAGGAATAGAACCTGGATTTCCCATCTCTGATTCCAGGGCTTTACCTGCAAGAAAAGATTTCCTCCCAGAGAAACGGTTCTGCTTTTGAATCAAGCTCCCACACATCTTGGGCCCTGATTCTCCTCTCCCAACTAGCTTGGTCTTCAGTGTAGTTACGCCAGATTTATGCTACCATGAGCAACATCTGTATCTGCTTTTCCTTCATTATTCAGGATCCTAACTTGTAAAACTTGTCTAGCCCTCAAAAGCAAGTATGAAAAATAGCACATCCCCGCTGCCATGAAGGATTTTTACTTCCGTCAGCAGCAATTTCTGAGTCACGCAGACTTCCCATCTCAAGGCCATTTGTCTTGGCTGCTACGTACAGCAATGCAACTGGAACCCAACCTTTCCAAGCAGACAAACTGTCATTTGAGCAGATGGGCCTCTAACCCAAATCAGCCACAACGACAGCGTATGAGCGTCTAACGTGTTTGCTGAGCGCAAGACTCCTGGGCCCGGGTGTTAAAACAGCCATCTGTGAGGAGTGAGGGGGTTTTCATGGCTGTGCTGTTCACTGCTACTTGTGGGCTAACTGATCATTGCTTGCTTTGGTGTACAAAAAACAAACAAAGGACCTGGTTCTCATTCCAACATCGCAAAGGAGCCTTTAAAGTGGGCGTAAGTTACATTAACACTCACCTGAGGCCCCTGTGCACTACCAGAGCAGTGTGAAGAGGTGTGAGTGTAGCTGAGAATCAGGACCCGAGTGTGGTCTCTACTGGCACCATTTTAGGCGTGGCTACTGTATTGCGTTTAGCTTTTTTCTTACAACCTGTAACCCACATAATATTTCGGGCAAAATCCTGTGCAATGAGAAGAAGCAGGGATACTGATTTCCAATGTAACCTTTGCATCGGCTACAGAAGGATCTTTGCCCACCAGGGGCAGATTGCTTATGGTAAGGCGAAAGGAGGGGCAGCTGGCGGGCACTTTTCTTCTCCTTGAAGGAGCAGCACCGTGAAGCCTCAGAGCTTCCATCAGGCCTGGGGGGGGGGGGGGGGATCAGCTCATAACACCCCGTTAGGGGAGGGTCAAAGATTTTACCGAATGCCCTTTCACCCACAGCACAGGTGCAACTGCTCCTTTCTGAGTGCTTATGAAAGAATGTTTTCTGTCTGTCAGTTTGTTTACCTGCTTGGTGATGCCAGATCAGCTCGGCTGACAATATGATGCTGGTGCGGGGAGTACAGCCATTGGAAAGCCGTCAGCGTTCTCTCCTCGATCCGAAAGCGGCCTTCCTTGACGTACCTATAAATAACAAACAATGAGAATTACACAGAACTGAAATATTTATTAGGGAAGAGCTGTCGAGCCAAAGAGCGAGGGAGACACACGATCAAAAGAATGGCTGGCTCAGGGAAACAGCAGAGAGTTGCAAGGTCAAATAGAAATGTAATCACTGGAATTACAATGCAATCCTCGCTCCTCCTTGCATGGCCCTTTTCTGTTTATAAATGGGGACCTGCAAGGGCAATCTTGCCGCACTTACGGTGCTGTTCGTGCTGGGCTACCACATTAGGCAGCCTAAGAAGGCACCCCCAGGAGAGCACTGCGTGTTCTCTCCTCCAAGTGCTGTCAGTGGAACAAGCCCCCGGCTCAGCAGTGGAAGAAACAAGCCCAATATTTTGCATAGCCACAGGGCCTTGGATCTCAGAACAACTGCAATTCAGCCTGCTGGTGCCCCTGTGAGATAGACAGGCATTACTGACCCTCTTTTACAGGTGGAGGGAGAGCAAGGCACAAGGAAGTTACAGAAATTGCCCAAAGCCCCATAGATAAGGGGTAGAACTGTGGCTCAACCCCCAAAGATATGTCCGGGTGTGTGATTATAGCCCACACTGACACACCCCGAGCTAGTTTTAATCTCACTAGCTTGCATCACAGAATGGCCAAGCTGGAGTTTCATCATGGGTTAGTCCCCAGGGTTACAGGCGGGTTTGTGCAGACTGCGCTAAAGCTTGCACTGCTGTGGTTTCACCGCTCCAAGACCCAACCTAGCAAGATTATAGCTAGCTCACGGTGCATCAACCAGCTGCTGCAGTATAGATGCACCGTAAGAGCGTGAAATTCTGAGCCACAGCCAGGAGAAGCCAAGCCTGAAAGTGAACCCTGTCCCTATACATGGGCTACTACAGAGCTAGGGTGAGAACCTGATCGCACTGAAATCAATGGGAGTTTTGGCATTGAATTCAAAGGGGCCAGGATTTACCCGTGGAGTTGGGATTTCTGGGTTCTGTTCATGGCTTTGTACCCGATTCTCAGTTGCAGTAAGGCCCCTTTACACAGTGCTGGCCTTAAAGTGAGTGCAAATGTAATTTATACGTCCAATGTATATGCCCCGGTGCAAGGAGGCCTTAGCGTAAACAAAAATCAGGCCCTCTGTGACTAACTCACTCGGAGACCTCAGGCAAGTCAGTCAACCATGGAGTGCCTCACTTTCCCCACGTAGGTAATGGGGGTAATCATAATTCTCTGCCAAGAATACTGAAGTGATGGATCCTTGGTTGGACAGCGCTACAGAAGAGCAAAGGGTTTTATAGTAAATAAAGATACTTCTATCTGGCACAGTTCTCCACCTGGAAAATTAAAACAAGCCAGAGCAAGTTGTTTTCATTTCCATAGCATTCTGCAGTCACCTGAAATCACAGGTCTTTCAGGGAACTGCTAGGATGAGCTCCTATGGATGATGAAGAACTACCAGCGCCCTCTAGTGGCACTCAGTGCTCCCTGGCTGCAATAAAAATCCATGACTTAAATACAAATCAAATTTTCAAAAGCATCCCTTAATCTTGGATGCCTCCATTCCTAGTTTAAACATCTTGGGCCTGATTTTCAGAGGTGCTGGACACCCGCAGCTCCCACTGACTCCATCTGAGATTCAAATGATCACATGGAGGCATTTTTTTAGTGCAGGGTTATTATAATTTATTATTTGTATGACAGTACCTCCTAGATGCTCCTAACCGGTGCTAGGCATTGTACATGTGGCAATTGACAGTTCCTGACCCAAAGAGCTTACAGATGACAATCTAAGCAGACAGACAGACAAAGGGAGGGAGGGGACCCAGAGGCACAGAGAGGGGAAGTGACAAGTCCAAGACCATACAGCACATCAAAGCCAAGAATCGAACCCAGCTCCCCTGAGCCCTAGTCCAGGGTCCTATCCACTAGACACAGAATATCATAGAATATCAAGGTTAGAAGGGACCTCAGGAGGACATCTAGTCCAACCCCCTGCTCAAAGCAGGACCAATTCCCAACTAAATCATCCCAGCCAGGGCTTTGTCAAGCCTGACCTTAAAAACCTGACAGTGACATTTGATCTTAGCTGAATCTCTGCCCAGAAAGTTCCTCTTCTCAAACTGCCCTTTCAGAACAACCTGATGTAGGGTCTGTTTGTTTGAAGCAAAGAACTTTAAGGCTACTCTGAGGCGGCTCTGACTCCTAGGGAATGTAGGATTTGCCATAGCCGATCAGACAGTTGGTCCATCAGAACTAGTATCTTGCCCCCAGCAGGTCCACGATGCTTCAGAAAAACATAATGCACCCAGTCATTTCTTCAGTGCGACACAGGGGCAGGGGTGGGGAATTACGATTTTAAAGTTGTATTTTCAAACTTAGCTGTTCACACAGTGAATGGTTTACAGTCCCGTCCCCCCCTCAACCCTCCCCAAAGTGTTTGCTTTCAATGCTGAACACCAAGGGCCCGATTCTGGTGTAATTCCATTTCAGGGCAGTTGTTCTTGATTTCCACTAATGTAAATGAGAGCAGGATCAGGCCCAATGAGCATCCGGACAATCTGTGAAATTGACTAGACACCAAATTTTCCAATGGCCACATAGGAGCTGTGCTGGATGATCATGGGAAGGGTCTCCAATCCAGCCCTGCGTAAGGCGGGAGCAGAAAGCCCACAATGGGGTCAGACTGAGGAGGGCTTGAGAAATGGAGATGTAAGATGTCTTTGCGTGGATCCAGTGGCACAACAATCCATGCAAGAGGTGAGGTGGGGCAGCTCACTGCTCGCCAAGTCCAGGTGAGGGTCTGTTTTATCTCTGAACTGTGCAGGGTGCATGGATTTCACTCTCAGGGAGCAGGGACCAACTTCTGGGCATTGTCAAATCAAGTAAGATCTAGACCAGTTACAGACAAAATCATCTGCTCTCTCTAAAGCCTTGCTGTAGCAGACAGGGTGGTTTAATATCAATGATTTATAACAGTCGTCCTGAACCCCATGAAAATAATTGGAGCAGCCCAGGATTCAAGCTGGTTAGTTTCTTTGCTGTCCATATTGTTTGTACAGGTCCTAGCTAATTTAGTGGCACTATGGGCCAGATTCTTACCTGATGTAAATCAGCATTTACAGTGGCTACGGCCAGTGCCGGCTCCAGCTTTTTTGCCACCCCAAGTGGCGGAAAGAAAAAAAAAAAAAGAAGAACCACCCGATCGAGCTGCCGCCGAAGTGCCACCGACGGGCAAGACAGCAAGTGAAGTGCCTGCCGCCGATCCGAAGCACCGCCGCCACCAATCAGCACGTGCCGCCCCGACAACGGACGCACTGCCGCCCCTGGCACCTGCTTCCTTCGCTGGTGCCTGGAGCCGGCCCTGGCTACAACTACAGCCCTATGGCTTGGAGCGACATATGCTGCTTAAAGGAATTTCTTTGCATCAGCACCTTGTGTAAACTGCTCTTTAAAAAGGAGCAGGTCCTGGTGTTTGAATACACGTAAGCTCTATTCTTGCCATTGATTTACTCTTTTATCCTCCTATAGATATGCACAGATTTTATGGTGCAGGATATGTACCTAAGATACATATATATCTACAGTACACACTGACTCTGCAGCCAGTGATGGAGAATGGCTCTCTTTACATTCCACCAGTGTCTTTCATCTATGTATCTCAAAGCATTTTACAAACATTAGTTAGTTAAGCCTCGGTGTTTTCCAGCAGCGGAGCATTACCAGCTGCTCAGCTGCTGTAAATCAGCAGAACTCTTTCGGCGTCAGTGGAGCGCCACCGATTTATAGCAGCTGAGGATCTGACTCATTATAGCTATATCATGTGTCCTCTGGGGCACAGAAAGGTTAGGTGACTTGTCCAAAGTAATTCCACAGATCATGGACAGAGCCAGGAATAGAACCCAAGACTCCCAAACTCATCCTAATCTCAAATCACAGAAGTCACACCCAATGTAACACCATTGGCTTCAGAGGAGTTAATCCTGGTTTATACCCCAGTAAGAAAGCTCAGAAGCAACCCGTACCCATTCTCTAAAGTGCTGGAGCATCTGCTTTCTAATAAGACGTTAACTCGTGTGCCCAAGGAATTAGTATCCACCAAAAATTTGGTGCCTCATTCTGATCTCACTTACATGGATGTAAGTCACGACCATTTCCACCGAAGTCATTAAACCAGGTGTATGGGATCAAAAAAAATCAGGCCCTTTGGTTCTATCCAATTGCATCTTGGAAAGGAAGGAAAAGAAACCACGTGTTTGGCTGCAGGGCCTACATTTAGCTGAGAAACGGTTCCGTGATCCTGTTTCATTTTCCGGTATAATGAAAACACGTTTTAGAATCTTTCCACAAGTCTATGCAGGGCTGGATTTGCAACTGCTCAGCAAGGGCATTTGCCACCAATTTCCCAACAAATTTTAATCTAAGTCTAGATCAGGACAGAATATAAATGCCAAACAAATTGTTCTCACCTGCCAATCAGTGGCCCCTACCTTCCAAAGACACAGATGAGGGGCCCACACTCCTGCATCCCTTGCACACCCAAAACTCCCAAGGAAGGGCCAGATTTTGCTGTCCATTACATCATTAATTTCTCTACGGCCTAGACCAAATCCTTCCCTGGTTTAAATCAGCAGAGTTCTACTGATTCCAGTTTGCACCAGTGGAGAATCTCATCCACCACTTTCTTCCAAATTTACATCTATGCAACGGAGAGCATAATCTGGTTTCTGAATGGGAGATGTGTGTGTGCAAGGAATGCAGGACTGGGCCCCAGATTAGGAAAATAGACATTTGGGTTTGTTTATGGAAACCTAAAGTTGATTCCAAGCCTGAATATATATTATCCATACTCCGAGTTTACCTTTTCCACCTCAAACAGGTAACATTACTGAACTGTTCTCTCTTCACTTACAATAAACTTTGCACTTCTGATCCATTTAACACAAGGATCTCAGCAACCTTTACAGCTCACACAGCTCCTATAATAATTATTTTTAGCAGTTTTGCAT